CCCCCCCCCAACCCATCACGCTGCCCCAATTCCCCGTCAAATCAGATCACAAAATACTCGTAAATGTTAAGGAAAAGTCAACAATTTGTTTGGCATTTATGCAGCCTGCGGGGGGGCGCCGCTGGCGCCAGTCTCTGGCCGCAGTCTCAGCCAAATTAGCCGCTGCAACGCCCCTGCCCACTGGACAATGGCCAGCAGCAGGGAGAGCGGGCGGGGGGAGAGCTGGCTCTAGACCCATTTTCAATGTGTGCGCTGATGAATAATGAATTGTTTTCCGATGCTGCCCCATGCAGCATGCAGCACAGGGGCAACATCAAACAAAACAGCGACGACGTCTACCACAACGAATTTAGATTTTTTCACATTTTTATTGTTGTTTGCCGACACAGCAGCCAGGGGGGAGGGGACAAAGCGGGGGAGGGGAAAGGGCAAGCGATGCAACAAAGTGCACTCTGACACTGTCTACCCCTGCCCCTTGCCCCTTGCCCCTGGCCAATGCCTCATTGTAAATCATTAGCAGCGACACCTGCTGTGAAAATTATGACACCGCCTTCGATTGATGTGCCGGAGAGAGCGAAAGCGAAGAGAGAAGAGAGCGAGAGAGAGAGAGAGAGAGAGAGAGAGAGCTGTAGCGAGGTGAGGTAGATAAAAGGTGCTGCAACCTGCAGCGCCATTTGCTGATAGCGCCCGCTGTGTGTTGCACACAGATGAAAGATGCCTCAGAGCTGCTGGGAATGGGTCACAGCCTCTCGATTGCCTCTCTGCCCCAGCCCCTGCTCCCTGGGACAATCACCTGCTGCGTTGACCGAATTTGTTTAGCTCGCGCCTTTTGATGGTCTCTCCCTCTCTGGCTCTCACTGCACTGCAGGACAGCAAAAAAATGTCATTTTACTGTTTTAATTAGCCAAAAGAATGGACCACCCGAGGGGCAACTGAAAGTGTTGCCCAATCAAAGAAGAAAAGCAAAAGGGAAAGAGTTGGCAGGAGAGCATCGAGAGGATATGCTGCTCAATTGTTGTTAAAAGTTAAATCAAATTGCTGCACACATTTTAAACAATTTATAGCTAACTCTTGGGTAACTTTTGTCTTCCATTTCCCTATGGCAAAAAGCTTAGAGCACAAGACACAACTTTCACCCCATAAAAGCCAAACTATCGACGACGATGACAAGCAGCAGCTGTGCCCAGTCCATCATTCATCGATTCCAATTTGTACATATGTATGTAGTGGCTGCTGCTGCTGCTGCTGCTGTCTTGGCTAATCCGCAAAACTTTGTGGCACAGTGTTTTGGGGGCAGCAGCACCTCATCAACGGCTGAGCGGCAACGGCACTCAAAATGTTTTTTAACTCGAAAACTCCGGCGCCAAAATGCAAATAAAACAACAAACACGGAACATAAAACATAAAACAGCAAAAGGCGAGGCGAGGCGAAAGAAACTTTAAATTGCGGCAAACGACAACGGAGCAGCAGAGGCAGGAAAGATCTGCGGCTGCGGCTGTAGCAGGGGCAGTGGCAGACGAGACGCGGCAAGAGAGCGCTACCCGAATACGCTGCCAGAGACAGAGCGAGAGGGATCGAGCGACCAGGAGCAGCGGCAGACACAATTTTCATAGGCAATTAAAAAAAGTTCATTGGTTTCGGCTTTACTCTCCAGCATACCATTCGGAAGCCACTCCGTGCAGTCGAAGTAGGGCTCCAGGCACAGTCCACAGTCCACAGTCCACAGTCCACTCTGCAGAAGGATGCCACCACAGACTCGACTCTTCATCCTTCCATTAGCATGTAAAGTGTAAACTAATGGCTTTGATTCTGATTCTGCAGCCAGTACCCGTGACCGTGCCCGTGCCCCGTATGGAGCTCACAAATTAAAAGCAGCGTGGGAACTGTGCAGAGGGAGCCTCGCTGGAAGCAGCGTATCCAGAAGTTTATTAAAAAACGAAGCTCCCCCCTCCGCACCGCCTCACTCAGGAGCAGAGACGAAAACTCTGGTCTAAGTAGGCTCTGGACTGGACTGGACTGGACTGGACTGGACTGGAGTCGACTCCTGGCCTGCCCCGTTTGATGGTCGAGGCCTCGACTGAGACTTTGTCTTGGACTTTTGCAGGACCGAGTTCCTTGGAACTGGTCTGCGTATCGTACCTTCGAGTTCCCATAAGTAAGCCATACACGAAAACTCATTAAC